GGGTTTGGGGTGGGGGCAGAGCCTGGTCTGGAAATGCACTGTTGAGGGGAGGGGCGAGGATGGAGGCGAAGAGGGGCAGCACTGGCCATCTGCCAAACACCTGCTCTGTGTCAAGCCCTGAGGGTACTGGGAATGGACGATACTCAGTGTTTATCAGCAGCCCAGTCTAGAGGGGGAGACACATAAAGAAACAGTCTTATCGAAGTCCCTGTTACTGGGCAGGGGGCTAGTGGGGTCCATGGGAGGGGCTAGTGGGGTCCATGGGAGGAACAGCTACCTATGTGAGTGTGCGCAGTTGTGTAGGTGTGTATGTGTGAGTGTGCACATGCATGCGTGTGAGCACGTGAGAGCACACACGTGTGTGCTCACGCGATAGTAAGCACATATGTGTGAGTGCGTGTGTATATGCATGTGCATGGGAGTGCGCGCGTGCGTGTGTGAGCGCGCGTGGGAGCAAGTTTATATGCGTGAGTGTGCGTGCATGCGATTGTGTGCACATGTGCACGTTGCGCGTGTGTGTGTGTGTGAGCATGCGCACGCGTGTGCTCTAGGACGTGGGGAGGCCAGGGTGGGGATTCGGGGTGCGGCACAGAGACGATCTCAGAGCTGAGTTTAAAGGGTGGCTGGGAGACCGACAGGGAGCAAAGGCAGGAAGGGCTCTCGGAGAGAATGATGGCTTGGGTGGTCCGGGCGTCAGTGACCTTGGTGCCTGGGAGGACTTGTTACGCTCAGCAGCCCCCTCCGCAGAGAGAGACACGTCACAAGGCTTTCACCTGAGCGCTGACATGCTCACGTGTGGATTGAGGAAGATCACTCTGGTGGCAGAGCTGAGGAGGGGGGGATGTGGGGGGCAATGCCAAGGCAGGAGAAGGGTCCGGTTGTGTCTACAACCACACTCGGGCAGTGTGACAGCGACAAGCAGCACTGAGAAGGCCGTGGAGGGCAGTGGAGGGAAGCAGGAGGACAGCCAGGTTTACGGTCTGGGTCATCAGGAGGATGGTGGTGGCATCTGTGGTACAGAGGGTTACCGAGGGAGGTGGAAGACCTGAGGAAGTGTCCTCTCACGTCTGCTTTCAACGGAGGCAAGAGGAGAGGGGCGGGGCTCGAAGATGCTCCCTGGGCTCTGGGGAGGTTGAGCAATGGGGCCAGGGGACCAGGTGTGGGTGTGGTGGGAGAATGGCAGTGTGACCCATTGGAGTGGGAAGGTTAGAGCTCCCAGGGCTTCCCAGGGATCCAGGCTTGCAGAGGAGGCTTTCCGTTGTGACAGCCTATGTTCCTTATGCCTCGTTAACTGTGTGAACCTGGGCAAACTTGCCTGAGCCTCAGTTTCCTCTTCTGTAAAGTGGGTGAGATCGTACCCACTTCCTGGGATAGTCGTGTAAATTAAATGCAATAGTATACAGAAATCACGGAGCACACAGCAGGTGCGCCCCAATGTCAGCCCCATGGTTGGCCTTGGGAACGCCCTGGATCATTGCACGGTGATAACCAAGTTTCCTTGTGCTGATCATGCTATCAGGGGTACTTAGGGACGTTATTTAATGCAGTTTGTTAAGAGAAAATCGGGGGTCCTGGGTGGCTCAGTGGGTTGTGTCTGCCTTCCGCTCAGGTCATGATCCTGGAGTCCTGGGATCCAGCCCCAAGTCAGGCTCCCTGCTTTTCCCTCTCCCTCTGCCCACTCCCCCTCCTTCTGCCGCCTTCTGACAACCCTAACCCTCCTGACAGCCCAGGGAGAATGACTGTCACCCCCTGCCCCCACTCTCTTTGTGTCTCATTCTTCTCCCGTGCACCGTCAGGAGGTGGCATCTCTCACTCTCACTCACTCTCTCTTAATAAATAAAATCGTAAAAAAAAAAAAGAAAATATTTAAAAATACATTTTTTGGGGGTAGAGGACTAATAAAAGGGATCCTTGTGGTGGAAAGGTGGAAGGTCAGGGGTGCAGTACACCTGGCCAGGGTCACCTGGTGAACCAGAGGGAACGCCAGGGCTTCAGCCTGGGGCCCCGACACTGGGGCCGTTTCTCTTTCTGCTGTGCTGCTCTGGGGAGAGGAGAGGGGTGTGTGGGCAGAGCTTGGCAGTGTTCGGCCCCTCACGTATGCCACCTTGCTCCTCCCGCCTGAGTGCTTAAGGCTTTTAACAGGGACTGTGCAGGAGACAGCTGACGTGTCAGGCAGGTGTGAGGGTGTGGGTGTGGGAAGGCCCCTTGGAGGTGAGTCAGCACTGCATCTTCCTTCCTGAGTCAGGGGCAGAGCAGGTGGAGGGCTGCGGACCAGGTGGTAGGGAGGAGGGGCGGTGGTGGGGTGGGGTGGTGAGATCCACCTGCAATCGCAGGTCTCAACCACCAGGGGGCAGGAGCCAGGCGGGGATATGAGGCAGGGCTCTGGCCCAGGCAGGAGCGTGGACAGGGAGCCCTGACCCAGCTATCCAAGCTGGGCACAGGCAGAGTCACCACTCGGGATGTGCCTGTGGCCCAGCTGTGCTCCCTGGAGAGTGTGGACCGGGATTGGACTCTGGGGTCATTCTGTCCAACCCTGCCATTCTGTTCTGCAGACTGGGAGGGCGCTACTCGACCCACACTGTGAGTTAGTGGCAGATTAATGGGATTTGCACCCATCCCAGGAATCTGGCTGCTTGATGGGCTCCATCTGGGCCTTGGTTCCTAGGGAGGAACGGAGCACACAGCAGGTGTCCCCAATGTCAGCTCCGTGGCCGGCCCTGGGAACGCCCTGGATCATTGCACAGTGATACCAGGTCTCCAAGTGCTGCCCTGGTAATCAGTGGCTCTCTCCACTCTCTCATTTCCTTCTGTTTCTGTGGCTCTCCGACCTTCTCTCCCAGCTTCCACTATCTCCATCCCTGATGCTGGGGCCCTTGCTCAGCTCCCTCCCTCCCCAGGCCCCAGGCTGGAGCGGTGTTTCCTCAGGGGTTTGCAGCTTCCAGAACCTGTTTTCCAGCCCAGAGTCTAAGGGCCACTCCTGGGATCTGGAGAAGTTATGATTTGGTAACAGAACCCTTGCTGTGATTTGGGAGGTGAAGAGGTCCCTTGGGTCCTGAATACTTTCCCCAGCACCCCTGCTGTGCTCAATAATCATAAACAGTGGTTGGCACAGGCTATGTGTGAGACCTTTGTTCGTGCAGAGACCAGTAAGACCCAGTCCCTGCCAAGTGAGCTCACCGTGTGGGGGTGAAGGCAAGAGAAGACTCGCACTGGAATGATTCTGCCCAGGGCAGATGCGCTAGTGCACAAGGACAAAAGGAGTCCTTGTATGGGATGGAGCAGATAGAGATGGGGTCTGGCTGGGCCTGGGGAAGTCTCCACCAAGTAGGTGGCATTTACCGGGCCTTTGAAGGACAGCTGGGATTTCAACAGGCAGCGAGGTGGGGAGCAGGGGTCAGCACAAGCAGTGGGTCTCAGAGCACCAGCTGCAGGTATGGTGTGCTCAAGGCGCAGGGACCCAGGCTAGGGTGTGTGTGGAGGGGTTGGGAAGCTGGTGGGCGCCAGAGTCCAAGCACCTCACCTCCAGGCCTGGGGAGGAGCCATGGGGGCCACTGTGATGCCTGAGCTTCACAGGCATTCACCAAAGTCCTGAGGTGAAATGGAAGAAGTGCAAAAGGTCACGAATGGCGCCCACCGGGCTTTACCCTCTGGGTGAAGGACTTTTGTTTCAAGTTCTACAGGAAATAGGGCTTGATAGGGAGGAGCAGTAGCACGGCGGGGTGGGGGGGTGTGCCTGAGAGAGTTGGGGACCCCGGGGCTCCAAGGGCCGACCCCATCTGCACGTTCAGGCTGCCCGAGCCCCGAGGCGGTCCCAGGAGAGAGCAGCCTGGCATCCATCTGATCCTGTCGGTTCTCAGTCCCAGCTCCTCTGTGGTGTCTGACGCCAAGTTCCCAGAGGGGGCCCATGAAGGGTCTCCACGCTAGCACCCTCCGCTCCCAGGGTGGGCTGGTGTTTGCAAGCACTGCTGGGGCCTTCGGGAGGAGGTAAGCGCAGCTGAATCACTGCCTGGGCATCTGGGCCTGGAACAGGGGGTGAGTCACCTAGCCCTGGGGCGTTGGGGGAAGGGAAAGAAGCTGCTGGACATCTGGAGGGGGAAGGGAGCCTGTCGGCCGGAAGGGCGGTGCCCAGACTGGTAGGGGTAGACAAAGGGCGGCGGCAGGGGCGCCTGGCAGGGGCGCCTGGAAGGGGGCAGCCCGAAGCCCGGTCTTTTCTAAAAACCCCGCCCCTGGGCTGGGTCCTGACGGGCTGCAGCGCAGGCCTTTCTCCGGGTGCGGGGCGGGGCCTGCAGGGGTGGGGTGAGGAGGACGGTGACTGCGGCCTGCCCAGCGCGGGCCTCTTGCTCTGGGAGCTGTCCAGCCCCTGCGCACTTGCCCGCCCCGCAAGCTTTCCCGTCTCCGTTTGGACCCTCCAGGGGCGTCCATACAGCGCACCCTGATGGGCTCACCCCGACTGCGCGGTGAGCACAGCTCGGCGGTCTCTCCCCCTTCCCTGGCTCATTCCCGACGCCTTCCCACCCACAGCGGCCGCGCAAGGTGGGAAGGTGCTTCCCTTACTACCATACGGAGCGGAGTTCGAGGCCAGCTTCGAAGCTCCCCCCAGTGAGTCCTCGAAGACAGCTTGCACGCGGGTGTGCGCACACACACACACAGACACACACAGACAGACAGACACACACACACACAGGCCTGGGAAGTCCCTGGAGGTTGGAGCCTCTGACTCACAAGTGAGCTGTGGCTCGCAAGTATGTGTCATACGAGCAAGGCCCAGCCTGAGACTTGAGGCCCACAAACAGGGGCGACCGCCCCTCACCCTGGGCCCAGGCCACCCCTTCCCGGTGATACCGGGACCCCCCCCCCCGACCCCCCAACCCCAGCTTGGCCTTCCTCTAGCGGTGGAGCTGCAGGTCTCTGGGAGGGCGGGGTGGGCAGGGAGTGGCTGGGGGTGGCGGGAGGCCAGGCTTTGGCTAATCAGGTTAGGGCAGGTTTGATTTCCTTCAAATGCCAGGTTGGGGGCCAGCGCGGTAGGCATATAAACCCCAGTGTGGGCGCCTGGCTCTTTGGTTTCCTTCCAGAGCCTCTCTGTCATCTGGTCTGGTGAGTGCTTCTGTCTTGCTGAGGGCTGATTGGGGGTGCCCGTGGTCTCAGTCTTTGTCTGCAGTTTTTTCATTCTGGGTCTCTCCCTTTGGGGAACCTTGTGTGATGTGCCCAACTGAGGGCTGTTCCAGGCTCTTCTGTGAGGTCTCAGTTTACAGGTTGCTCTGAGGCCTTCTCTTGGGTCTCACGGTCTGGGCCTCGCAGTCTAGGGATCCTTCTGGGGGCCTAGGCCCAGGAAGAGGAGGTGTGGAGGGTGGTGCTTTAACGAGAGTCTTGGGTTTTGTTTTTCCAAAGTCCTGGAATCCATCAGGACTTAAGGGACAAGAGCCAGGGATCTCAAGTGTGTGGGCCTGCCTGGGTCCCTGCCCTGAGGAGCTGCATGGTGCCCAGCCCTCTGCCCCTTCCCTTCTCTTCCCGAGTGAGAAGGCAGAGCTAGCGGGGTGGGCCCAGGACGTTACTTACCGCTGACACCGGGTACGGGGCCTCACCCCAGCACTCCCCCTAAGCCCCCTGGGGGTTGCTCAGAGCATGCTCAGAGGCAGAGCCATGGAAAGGATGGCCTGAGTTCTGTCCTGCCATTCCCAGGGCCCAGGACATGTCATTCCTTTAGTACCAGTCCCCATAGGATTCTTCCTGGTGGGGAGGGTCGCTCAGGGGCCTTCACCTCTGCACTGTCTGATGGAGAGAGCGCCCTCGGCTCAGAGGTCTCCAGTGTGTGGGAATGTCCGTCTCTCTCCTCTGAGGGTCCTTGGTCCAGTGGAGGAAACATACTTAGACACTTCCTCTGGCCTTAGGGGTCCCTCGTCTGCGGGAGACGACTTCTTAGGGAGGAATGGTCTCAGGGGAGAGGCAGAGAGGGGTTTGGAGAGGCACTTCGGGGCACAAGGGCAGAGTGTCCTGTGGGCTGGGCTGAATGTCCCCATCACCTCCCACCCAGATCCACCCCTGTGGCCCCAGATCCAAGATGTCCAGTCCCCTGGAGCAGGCACTGGCTGTGATGGTCGCCACCTTCCACAAGTACTCTGGCCAAGAGGGTGACAAGTTCAAGCTGAGTAAGGGGGAGATGAAGGCACTTCTGCACAAGGAGCTGCCCAGCTTTGTTGGGGTGAGTGGGGCTGGCTGGGTTGGGGGGTCCTGATGTGTGTGTGTGTGTGGGGGGGTGCCTGGTGAAGCAGACACAGGGCGTGACTTCATGGGCAGGGGGGTGGCTGGGGCCCAGGCACGTAGGCGTGCCCTGTTTCTGCTGTCCCTGTGGCTCTCCAGAGGATGGACAGCTGTCCATCTGTCCAATACCCTGCCTGGGTCAAGCCAAAGCCCAGAGAGGGGAGGTGACTGGTCCAAGAGCACACATCTCTCTCGCTCTTACTTTCCATGTTATATGCCAAACTAAGAAGTTGCATTGGGAGACACGTGTGCGCCCTGGGGCAGTGGCAGAGAAATGCTGTCAGCTTTCAGTTTGCCCCTCCCCTGCCCTGTATTGACTCCTGAAGAATTAAAAAAGTCAGGTCTCAGGCATTGAACTTGTGGTGCATGCCCTTTATTTCTTTAATGCTTTTTTTTGGTTAAGCTTTTCTAATTTGGTTTCATTTTGGCTGGTATTAAAATGTTTGCCTTGGGGTGCCTGGGTGGCTCAGTGGGTTAAGCCTCGGCCTTTAGCTCAGGTCGTGATCCTAGGGTCCTGGAATTGAGCTCCGCATCGGGCTTTCTGCTCAGCAGGGAGCCTGCTTCCTCCTCTCTCTCTGCCTGCGTCTCTGCCTACTTGTGATCTCTGTCTGTCAAGTAAATAAATAAAATCTTTAAATAAATAAATAAAATATTTGCCTTTTCTGAATTCAAAAATTTTTAGTTTCTTCATCAGTGAAGTGGGAGAGTGACGCCCAGCTTGCTGGGCTAGGGAGGACCTGGGTGCTCCTTGCTCCCGGCAGGGGCAGCTGGAGACCTTCCCAGTGAACGCCCACCTGTCCTCACTCATGGGGCCTCTTTGTAGCTCCCAGGGGGCGCCCTGCCTACCACTCACCCACTGCCCAGTGCCAAGGGAGGGCTGGGCTCTGACCTGTAGGGGTGTGGGGTGGGGAGCAGCCTCTGAGCCATTCTGTCTCACTTTCAGGAGAAGGTGGATGAGGAGGGCCTGAAGAAGCTGATGGGCGACCTGGACGAGAACAGCGACCAGCAGGTGGACTTCCAGGAATACGCCGTTTTTCTGGCCCTGGTTACTATCATGTGCAACGAGTTCTTCCAGGATGCCCCGGACCGGCTGTGAGCGGGGCTCCTGCTTGGCCACAGCCCTCCTGGACCCACGAGGACTCTAGCTACCCCTTTTGTACCCAATAAACATTTCTGTTGATCATATTTTAATTGCTCAGTGATGCCCCATCCCCTGGCTGGCTGAGTTGGGTTGCTGGACAATAAGAGCATCCTTAGATCCCACCCCTCTGGGCTCTGACTCTTCTGGAAATCTCTGCAAGGCCAGAGCTGCACCTCAAGTCCCAGAGTTTGGCATTTCAAATACCGGTAAAAATTTGAGATAGTTTGCTAATATTTTTTTTCCAAATAAAGATTTTAAAAAAGGCAAATACCATCCACCATCACTGTCATTTCATAAAAATAGAAAATGCTAACAAAGAAGGAAGGGTATGCTCAGAACAAAGGACAGACCTCGACGTTCCATACCGTGAGCCATCCGTGCTACTAAGATCTGTTCAAGAGGCAGAAGGCATCTAAACAACCCAGCAGACCTTCTCACTGAAGACTTTTTATCAGGTTGCAGACCACAGGCAGTGGCCCTGTTTTAGCAAAGTTGTATTTCTTTTGATACCTGCTTTCAGATGGGTTCCAGTTTGAGTTCATTCTTCTCTTGTGGGTCTCTGCTGAAAGCTACCGGGCGCTAGTTCATATCAGCATCCTGATTTTATTCCTACCATTTTCCCTACACCTGTAGCGAGGTTGCCATCTGTTCTGCACCGTGTGGTCCAGCAGGTGACAGCCTGACCGAACGCTTTGCCACTTCCTAACAAGGTCACTGACTTTCCAGCCACCAAAGGTGAGATCCTCGTATTTTATCCTTTCTTCTCAATTAATTACCCATGTTAGATTCTCTCTTGCTCACTTTTTAATGGATCCCACTTCTAGTTACCAAATTCTCTACCGGTTAGGAACATACTCAGTTGTAAGGCACAGGTAACCCGACTAAGAATGGCATATATAAATTAGGATTTAAAGGCCTTATAAAAGAAGCGTGAGATACGCAATTGAGGTTTGGTTCAGTGACTTAGAGATGCTGTTCTGGTGACCTATTGTTGCATTACAAATCACCCTACACTTGGTAAATTAAAACAGATTTATTATCTGTCAAGGGCCTATAAGGAGATGGCATTTGGTCAATGGGGTTCTCATTTAGGACTTTTCAAGCAGCTGCAGACAGATGTTGGAGCTGGAGTCATCTGAAAGCTCAAATGCATTCAGCTTCCAAGGCAGCTTATTCAATGGGCCCGGCAGCCGGCACCGGCGGTTATCTGGGAGCCAGGAGCTCTGCGGCAGCTGTTTGGAGCGCCTACCACGACCCCTCGGTGTCGCTTGGGCGTCTCAGAGTGTGGCAGCTAGGTTCTGACAGGGAGTGGCCCCCAAGGGAGCAGCCCAAGGTGTCCCAGTGGGGGCTGTGGGGCATCTTAAGATTCATTTCAGAAATCCAAGAATGTCACTTAGGCTGCATTCTATCGATCAGGTCGTTAGGCCGGCCCAGATTCAAGGGGAAGGGAGTTAGGCTCCATCTTTGCACGTGAGGGGCAGTAGCACAAAATCGACAGAGGCCATCTCAGAGGCTGTGTACCATCGTCCGACTTCTAGCAACCACGTGCAGAACGTAGCTATCGCCTTCCCAAGACCTGCCATGTCTCACCCTGTCAAGGCATCAGCGTGAGATCCAGGGTCTTGTCTTGTTATCTCTGCCAGGCCCCAATCTGGGCGACCGTGACTGCAGCCCCTCAAGAACAATTCCCTTGCCCTGAAGACCCATGCACGTTTGGTGCATGGAGGTGAGACAGACAGGGGACCAACACTCCTGGTCACAGATGTGTCCTTGATCCACAGCAACTCTGAAACGGAGTCAGACACATGCCACCAGATTCCTGACGAGGGCCCAGTTCTACTCCCTGTGTGTGGTTCTTCGTGGGTCCAGACTCTCGGCAGTTGGTTTCATTCTCTTTAACTCTTTTATTTTCCATAAGAAATGTTTGTGTTTGTAGCTGCCCCCTGCCCAAAGGAAGTTGACAACCCAAAGCTGCTTTTTTTTTTTTTTTTTTTTTTTCCCAAAGCTTCTTTTCTTTGAACTGTCTCTATCCCTTTCAGCCCCGGATTATGTAATTCCTTTCAAAATATTGAGGGCTCTCTCTCTCTTTCTCAGTCTCTCTCTCTGTCTCTCTCTAATAAATAAATAAAATCCTTAAAAAAGAAATCTAAAAAAAAATGTTGGCTTCCTGTATATCAGCTTATAATTTACTTAATTATACAAATGCCACACTTACAAATCTCTCTAAGATTTGTCCCTCTTACCTAGACTGAGAATCAGGGAGTTGGGAGCGAGGCCCTCTGGTCTGAAAGCATCTGAGCAGCATAATTCTAAAATTATTAGAAGCCAACTTGTTTATCTGAGAAAACCTGTGAGACTTGCCCTTAAATCTTTCCAAGTCTATACCTTTTACTTCGTTTCTATCCTGAGTCCGTCTTTATTGACAGGCCCTGGGTTTGACATTTGTCCTGAAGCCATTTATTACTTTGAGAACCATGTGCTGGCCATAAAGACTTTTCTGGACCCTCTATAATTCCTCTAAAAAACCTGAGCAGTTCCTTCTCAGGTTGTCTCTTTCTTCTCATATTTGATCAGGGTCATCAGAAGAAGTAGGCACTTTCAGTGTTCTGTCTAAACATCTCAGCTAGGTCCGCGAATTCATTCGGTAGTCCTTCTATTTTCCTATTACCATGGACCGAAATGCTCCCAGACATTCCATGGCCACATACTAGGGCTCATCTTTTCTTTCTTTTTTTTTTTTTTAAGATTTTATTTATTTATTTGACAGAGAGAGAGAGAGCAATAGAGCGAGTACAAGCAGGGGGAGCAGCAGAGGGAGAGGGAAAAGCAGATTCCCTGCTGAGCAGATGCGGGACTCAGTTCCAGGACCCCAGGATCATGACCCGAGCTGAAGCAGACGCTCAACCAACAGAGTCTTCCAGGTGTCCCTAGGGGTCACCTTTTCTCAAGCCTTCGGTAACAATTTCCTCATTGCCCTCCAAATTATCACTGCTAACCCCCTTGAGGTCCTTCTAGCTTTCACTGATTACCTGGTCCCAAAGCCAACGGCGCCTGCCTGGTTTCTGTAGCAGCAGCAAGCCCCTCTTGCAAGGAACCAGCTCATGCTAACTTTCTAAACCTTTCCTACCACTTCCTCTATCACAACATTTAGGATTTGCTTTGGCCGGCATCCCGAGATACATCAAAGGACAGTTTGACAGAATATTTTGTCATCTCATAGCAAGGGTCCTTGGCTTTCTGGCTGGGACGTATCTCTCTGTCTTCCCTCCTGCACTGGCCAATTGCTTGTTTCAGATTCTTTGACTTGAGGACTCCACGTTCAGATGTAAAATTCTCTACCAGTCTGGCATGTATTCAGCTGTGAGGTGCAGGTAAAGTTATTTCCATGGTGTTTAACCGTCTTACATAACGAGAAGTCTGGGGTGGGCAGTTTAACGTTGGTTTAGGGGCGCAGAGATGCCGTACCAGTCAGTGTCTTTTCTGTGCTTTTTTTGCTCTGTAACCTTTAGTGTATATACTTTTCCCCTTGTGCATGCTGCTTCATGATCACAAGACGGCTGCTGTACCTCCAGATTTCACTGTCCATGTTCCAGTCTGGAAGGTGCAAAAAGCCTTCCCTCAGATTTTGCCTTTTTATTATGGCAATAATTGTAACAATTATAATCATTATTATGTTATTAAAAAGTACTCTCTCTAGGGATTTCTTGCATCTCTTTGGTTTTAGAGATGTAGTATGGCTAGTCAAGCTGCAACCAGGGATTTTTTTTTTTTTTAAGATTTTATTTATTTATTTGACAGATCACAAGTAGGCAAAGAGCAGGCAGAGAGGCAGGCAGAGAGAGGAGGAAGCAGGCTTCCCGCTGAGCAGAGAACCGGTGCGGGGCTCGATCCCAGGACCCTGAGATCATGACCTGAACCAAAGGCAGAGGCTTTAATCCACTGAGCCACGCAGGTGCCCCTGCAACCAGGGATTTTTACGTGAGCATGTTGACACTTTGAAAGAAAATTTTTTTTAAAGATTCTATTCATTTAGATCGAGAGAGAGAGAGAGAGAGAGAGAGTGAGAGAGACAGCATGAGCATGCAAGCGCATGTGTGTGGGAGCAGCTGGGGGAGCAGAGGCGGAGGGAGAGGGACAAGCAGAGCCTAGGGAGGGGCTCGATCTCAGGATCCTGAAATCAGGACCTGAGCTGAGACCAAGAGCTGGGCCCTCAATCTGCTGAGTCACCCCGGCATCCCAAGAATGAGTTTCAGTAACAAGGAAAGAGGGGATAGGCAATAGACACGCAATAGACAATATTTTCCTAAATTGTTTTCTTACTTCCAGGGAAACTCGGCTGCTTGGTGAGCACTCTTGGGCACGGTGCCTCAGACTAGAGACTAGAGCTGCCCAGAGATGGATGGTTCCCCAGTGCCAAGGTGCCCGGACAACATGCTTGTTCTCACTGTTCTGCTGAATGGTGCATCTGGGGCGGGTGCGGCAACCTGGCCGGCCCAGCAAAGAGAGAAACCCATCTCCCTAATGTCCTGGAGGGGACAGAGCCAGGAGAAGAGGGTCAGGAAGTGGTGGTCACAGCGCTTACCATGCCCAGGGCAGCTCTCACGGAGCCTGTGTGTCTCTTGGCCTTTGGGCTTCCTGGAGATGAGGAAACAGGAGGGGACGTCTCTTTCTGGTGGGGCTCTCTGCTGGGCCTGTGGGAGCACAGTCTCCCAGAATCCCCACGATTAAAGGATGGGTGTGCTGGTGGTCACTGCACGTCACAGACGAGAAGGCAGGGGCTGGGAGAGGTTGGGAAATGTAAGGAAACACCTCACTTCTAAGACGTGGGATATGGAGGAACAGTCTGGGCCTTCCTCCTCTTCCTCAGCCACCTCCAAAGCCGCAGGCTCTGTGGGAAGGAAAGGGGACCCCAGGGAGCCGAGTCAGATGTTCTTGGTGTCTGGATGAATCCAGGGGAGACCCGGCCCTTTCGATGGCGGTCTGCACGCGTGCAATGGGTCCTGGCTTCTGCGGGAGCACAGTTCCCCACTCTTGGACTCTGTGGGCTGGTGGAGACTGGCCTCAGCTGGCTAGGGCTGAATGGGGCTAACTTTTTAAAAACAATATTTTATATATTTTGTTTAGTTATTTGTCAGAGACAGAGAAAGGGCACAAGCAGGGGGAGCAGTGAAGGGAGAAGGAGAAGCAGGCTCCCTGACTAGCCAGGACCCCGATGTGGGACTTGATCCCGGGACCCACTGATCATGACCTGAGCTGAACGCAGACGCC